GGAACGTGATTTTTGTACGTTTGTTTCTCTTCGGAAACCGAATGTTCGTGCGCCTAACTTCGTATGTTGGCTCCAGTGACCACAACTGACACATACATGTTGGGAATTGGAGCAAGAAATTTCCGCGCAGGATTCCTTTAAAAATTTTAAAGGCAGCGATTACGATAAAGAGGGAGCGCATCGGGGAAGCATATGCACCACACGAAGCAGTTACTTGGCTGCCAAGGAAGCGAGGTGTGGCGCTTTCACGACGAAAGGTGCGCTGGTTGCTGAGCAGGACTTCGAAAGCACTCCGCCCCAAAAGCGATCCGCCCACTAGTTGGTGATTTGGACGAGCTGCGTTGCCAGCAGCGGCACAACTGGAGCAACTCGATTGGAGCGTGGTTTGGCATGGTGCCACCAAACGCGTTGCGGTGAACTCGTTCATACGTCCGCTTTCTGAGCTGTTACCTGTTCATGAGTGAAAACAACGGCCAAAAAAGGGGGCCCGTTTTGGGTAAGCACTACCCCGTCTCCTCTAAACCCTCCTAAAAGCTACATACCATATCGCTGCCTTCATGGACTGGAACTGACCAGAATGATCATGGAAATCAACTAAATGAGTCGCTACGAAGAAGTGTGAGCAGGACACGGTTGATACTATAACGAACTCACTACAGTCGTTGTAGCTGTGCAATTTCAAGCACTCAGGAACAGTAGGTCCTTATCGCTTCCCCGATGAAACTCAAGTTGCTCTGAATGGCTCCTTTCTATTTTGAGTAGCTGGAGAGTTTTGGGGACAGACAGCCTACGAAACAATGGTAGCCGAGACGAAAAAGCATTGCGGAGAGCGAGAAGGCAGATGCCGCAACTATGGGGGCGTTCTCATCCATGGGAGGTGCATAGATCCAAACCCTAGTCAAAACCACCCTGTCTAAGCACTTTGGGTGGAGAAAGTGGCCTATGTGTGCGACACTAATCATCGAAACTTTCTGAGGTGGATGTGGAGCAAATAAGAGGCGGTGTTCTCCGTCATTCACATGCTCAGCATGTCCAATGGCTTCGGGTTTTGAAAATTCTATGCCATAGAAGTGAAATTCCTACCTGATCGATACGTTTGTCGAGTTGGAGCTTGTTTTCCAAGAGTCTCTCACGATACCTCTGAAACAGGCCAAGTTTGAGTTCTTGAACTATTCAAAACGAATCTGTTATATAATAATTCCAAATACTATGAACTATTACTTGCGCATCAAATAATATTATTCGCAGATTTTTCTGGCTATACGATCCTATTAAATATCAAATATTGCAAATGAGTCGAGGCTGCGGTGCCCCGGCGGCATAATCAGTGGCATGACTGTCTGGAAAGTGATAGGTGCGGGTTCAATTCCTGCCTGGGAGTTTCGTCCATGACCCAACATTCCTGTGATCAGGGTCAACCGTCACTGGACCAATTTCGAAAATTTACGACCCTTTCCCCCTTTTAGAGGCTCGGATACAAACCCCCCCCACTCCCCTTGCCATCTATGGGAGCGATTCCCCTAGTTATTTGCTTTTGAAGTACGCGGTCGACACAGCCGTTCAACTCGCGCCCATTTCCTCCAAAATTGCTGTCGACGGGGCGGGTATACTATCGAGATGTGAATGTGACACGAGAAACTTTTCTCATCATAATCCAGTCAACCACCTAATCCACTTTCCGTTCCCGATGAAAAATTTCATCCCTTTTTGTTAACACATTTAAGCGCTAACTCAGCGGAAATACGAAAAAAAAAACTCCCCCCACCCTCTTCATCCCCCCAATACGACCCCCCTCGCGACCTGCTCAACCGCCCGCCCGGGATGGCCAAGTTCCAACCAGCGTAGTAACCGTGCATAGAACGTTAGTTCATCCACTCTCCTTGAGCCGGAATCCCTCCGTAAGGGTCAACAGCAAGAAGTATCACCTTCGCTTGAAAAAAATGCTCAAAAATGACAAGCTTTAGTTGAAAATTAGCTATTCAATCTACTAGTCGCTTCTTTGGATGCTATCCGATCCATTCTCCCAAATTCTTTTTGGAAATTACCTTTTGAAAAATGCAGGTTTGTGCTGAAAGGACGTGATCATCTTCTTCAGGAGTGAGTTCAAGGGCATGGAATCGCTCGATCACGTTCTTCGATGAGCATCAAAAGATCTTTGTAAAGTCGTTCGGCAGCATAGTTCAACAATCGTCGCATACTGAAAGTAACTTTCAATAACTAAGTTCGTTCATCAATGGAAATTCAGTTAAAAGCTTTGTTTCCAACACCACTTTCACTGAATTTGTGGGACGTCAAAGCTTGAACAAATGGCGTTTGAAGGAGAAACGTAGACTTAGTCTGGTAAACAGCTTATTGGTGCGCGGAATTTCATACTTTAAATGGCATCAAAGAAGATTCTGACATCGAAAGCACTTAAGATAATGAAAAGGGATGGACAAATAAGGAGTGCAGCATGATGTGATGGGAAGATAGTTTGAAGCCTTCTGGCTTGATCATCAACTCTCGCAGCCAAGTCAAGTGAGAAGGAAGCATTTTGATGATGTCGTATTTCGTGAGAATTGGGGTCGTAGGGATTTTGAAATCGGCTAATCACAACAGCTATCCTAGCATGGATTCGCTTGTGTGTTTGCAGGACGCATTCAATTACGTCCCCAAAATTTTCATGAAGAACACGTGCGTGGCTCAAACACAATGAAGTTTTTATTGAGGGTTGCTGATGCGCTGCACTTTTTAGTAGCTTCTTTCGTGATGCAGGGCTAAGATTCTCTAGGCTACAGATCCTTACTGGGTCTCTCCTTGTTAGAAAAAGCATTCAGCATTGACTCCTTTTTGAGATGCGCCACGCCTTCTACTCTGAATACCGTGGTGGTGTTGAAATGCGAGGCTTATATAGTGGCTTGTTGTAAAGTCAAAACAATAAGTGACTTTCTAGACGTGTTTGTTTAGAGTAAACCATGCCGGGTAACGGAAGGCTTGGTTTCCCTAGCTAGAACTCGATCCGGGATCCACTCCTGACCGTGGTCAATGTTGGCGACGTCGACTGCCACAACACCACCTTGGAACGGAGTATCTCTTGCTTCTCAGAGAAAGCCTTCAATTTTTCTTGGCCCAGCGGTTTAGCAGAAAAATGTTAGATGGGTTCTAGCCACAAAAAGGCATCTACGTCCCGTTAATTCGACAACAATTTTGCAAGATTTTAAAGATTTCGTCACACCACTCACGTCAGTAAAAGCCTAAAGCTGGATTTCTGCAGGATTCCAGAAAACAAGCAGAGCTTAGATTAAAATTCTTCAAGATCTCAGAAAATAACTAGAGCTCAGATTAAAATTCTCCAGGAATTCAGAAAATAACAAGAGCTTAGATTAAAACGCGGCAGCTAAGCTTTCATCTCACTCCAATTTCTGAAGATATGTTATCAAGAAGTTCTGTATTTTATGTAATAACCAGATTAGTCCCCCGTCAACCGCCGGGACCTTCCTTTCCTGCGCAAGCTTTCTATCCTCCGCTATGGTCCCTTCCTCCTGTGACACCAACACCTCCTGGAAGTGACGCGTATGCAACACAATGGTGTTTCAAACAGTAGAAGGGACACAATCATGATATGACGGTAGATTTTTCGCTTCCCTTCCTCATCCTCCCTTCCTCTCTCCACTGCCCTCCAGCTGCCACTGCAGCACCATGTGGAATGAACGGAAGTGTGCTAAGCAGGTGTTTATATAGCCCTAAGAGTGTTATCACAACTATCCTGCTACAAAACATTGATATCTCAAATCCTGTAAGCTACCCGATTTGTTAGCGGTTTGTTTATCCCATGAGCTTCCTTCTCACTCACTTCATTTTGCGGACGGACACACATACATACACACACACACACATACAGATACACAAACCGACACACAAAGTTAGCGCTTTATAAAATAGAAGGATTTTATATAGGCCACAAATCTACTATGTAGTAGCTACTGAACAGTTATATAGATAACTATTCCCTATGAATAAATATTGAGAAAAAAAGTTTCTAAAAAAATTTATAAGTGGGAAAGCTTAGCGCTGCTCAATTGCGGATGCGCCATGCACTCGAACCTCACAAGGAATGTAAAGCTAAAAAATTTGCTAAAAATTAGCAATATTGGTCAAAAATTCTCAAAAAAAGAGAGTGCGGAGACAATGAGCGCTGCGTCAGTCGTGGAGGCGCCATGCACTTGAATTTTATACATAGAATGGCTGTGACGATCCGTGAAGGCAATGAGGGCCCAAATCTCCTGCGCTTATATGCAAAAGCAGGGATTCTCTCCAAACTGTACACAAACTTCGCCTTCAGGACCTAACAAGCGTTGGCAGATCATATACATCTCTAGCAAGAGTCAGAGTCCATTACCAACATCCGAAGAAAGAGAAACAAAAATGACAGCGCTGCGCGCTACAGCGAAGTTATTACGGGTAACCCTCCTCCCACCTCTCCTTCATATGGGCGCTATGCTCAGCAGCCATCGGAAAATCGGGCAGAAATTTTCCACCTCGGTGTCATAAGCTCACTCCCTCCTCTCTGTAAGCACCGCTTCAGAAAAGCTGGCGTGGGCCGCCTTTATTTAAGATGCTTATTCGAGTTTGTTAAGACTTCCCACACAAGTCTCCAATCCCAAGATTGGCAATGACATTTCATGATGAAAAAAATCCGCAGATTACCCTCCCCCGGGTTTCTAATTTTTCACAGTTAGTGGATAGATCCATTCTGAGGTGCTACACGATTAAACTTACTTTGGACTTTCAGGTTTCTAAGCAACCGATCCTCATTTACAAATCTTCTACGAGCGTGGATCCAGGGCCACTAAGCCTTTGCTATATATGGCCAAGTTGTCACGCATCAGCTCTGCCCCTGATTTGGTTACGTGACGCAAATAAGCTCCTTCTGGAATACACCTAATGGATTTGACTGTAAGCAGCGTGATCGCAGCAGTCACGGGTTTTGATAAAAAGTCACAGGACCAGGATATTCCCCTCATCCTCATGTCAAGTTGTTTTTGCTGCCATGGTAAAAGCCATGTCGTTGAGGTAAATTGCGTCTTCTGTTTCAACCTACCTAAACTTCCCTCCCTCCCCCCCTCCCTTGCAATACGATCCCTCCAGACCCCAGCCTTGTGAAGAGATTCAGTGCTAGTGAAACACGGTGTACCAAAGCCACACATCTCTGTAACCCCTGAGTGATTTTTCTAACTTACAATAATCCGGCAGGAAGTGGTGTAGTGGCAAGTGGCGCGCTTACCACGCGAGCGGTCCGGGGATCAAATCCTGGGTCGTGAGTCGCCCAACCAAGCCTTCCATCCCTCCGGGGTCGGTTAATTGGTACCAGACTTGTCTGGGAGGATAAAAACACTGACTTGTACATCGGCTGGCCCCCGCAAGTCATTGTATAGGCCACATCGCATTCAAACGCCACTACGAATGTACAAATGGAAGTAGAATGCGCGGCCGCATCCCAAACGAGATTGATCAGTGCCGGATCTCTTCCTTATCCTTGCGCATAACCCTACTTTCACCTACAGGAAGAGCATCACTTTGTGATATATGGGCCGTATTTTATGTGCCATAGCAACCTTTCAACCTTTTTTCAAATGGTTCGTCTAACGACGAAAATCTCAAGAATTAGAATTACCTTTCGGCTTGCTTGGAATCTTTCTTCAGGATCGGTTTCACAGTGAAATTACGGAATTCTGGCGATGGACTTTTCTTCGGCAGCTCTGGCGTGACAATTTCGACATCGATCTGAAATGAACTGACATATGACATAATATCTATTCAACATTTCATACATTTCAAAAGAAACTCACAAAATCGCTAAAGGACACTGATTTACGATTGGACGAATTCGGACGCGTGTCCATAGCCAATAAATCTTCCAGTGACGATGTGTCTATGTCGGAAAGTCTGAAAAATTAAAATAATGAATAACCCGCTTCTACACAGTGAATGTGTATGACATGTGGCCGACGGCAACAAAAACTATTCGCAAAATCGATTCCGATGCAATCGAAAATTCCACAGATTTTAATTTATATACTGCAGTCATTACAAGTTCAGGTAGCTCACTGATGGAAAGAATTCCCTGGAAACCAAGTGTAGGCAACCCCTTCAACCCCTTTTTGGGCCTCTGAGTCGCCTAAAAAGCTCAAATTTTCAATGCAGACCCCTGGCCTCCATCACAAAAAAAAATCCCCAGTTTAACCTTTTCAAATAAGAACCATTTCGAAGGGTTGTAGTAGCTGGCGCCTGAAGTGTCTTGAAAAGGCATAATGGAGAAGTTCAGTAGGCTCACAGATTGATCCTTCAGCTCTCATAAACTCGCTCTCAACGGCCTATATTCGAAATAACCCCCAATTCAACCCTTCCAAAAGGATCACTGAGGCCAAATGCAAAAAAAGGACCACCAACTACTCGATATTCAATATTTGCTTATGCCGGGAAACAAACGCACTTCGGACCTTTTCTGCCAAGCAAATGAGTCCTAAAAATAGCCGAAAACAACCTCAGAACATAAATTTTCTCTTAAAGTGACGCTATATTCATTTCAGGGTCATTTTAGTGAATCAAATGACTCCATGGGTTTATCGCGCTTGGGATCACGCTACTTGGGGGAATAATTTTTCTTTAGTGCGCAACTCTAATGTGAGAGCAATGATAGCGAGATCAAGGGAAGTGATGAAAGGAAGAGAGCTGTTCTGAGAGCTGGCGAAAAATTGAATTTTCTCTTTCAGTGCGAACCCAGTATAGGCAAGATCCCATCTCTCTTTCTAAGCAAAAACCACCAGAAAAACAGCAATGTTGCTGGTAACGCCCGCACGTTTTGCTACTCACTTTCTTCAAAGCAGAGTCCTTGTTACATACAAAAAAACTTGCGAAAGAGCCTGAAGCCGCTAAGTCTCTACTTTGTATACAACTAACGCCTTCAGAGGTTCGCCAGGGGCCACAAAGACATGATAAGAAGATCTGAGCTAGTGAATGTTGGCCAGTGAACCTAGACACTCATGAAAGTTGTTTAATATTACAAAAACTCCCGCGGGCCATTAAGCACAATAAAGCTTTGTTCAGCGGCTTTTTGAAGTCTCCGACGTGGAAAATAGAAAAATTTTCCAAACTCAGCCAAGCATGCAGAAAATCATGAACGCTACACTAAGAACTTTCCAAATTGGGGCAGAAATCATACAATAAAAAGTCCCAACGGAAATTGTAACTCACTGTTCCCTGAAGTCCGGCAATGAGACATCGGTGTCCGGTGTGTCCTCCAGATGTACCGTCGGCGGTACTGGTGAATGAGACGTAGAAGTGGTCTGGTCCAGCATTTCTTTTGCTGTTGAGTGCTTATTGTCGTCCAACGACGGCGTGGTAACGGTGGATTTGTCGCTTTGTTCCTTCTTATATGCGATAGCTTCATCGTTCCGCCCCTGGCGCTGAGTGACGTCGGTGAGATCAGCTGTAGACGTCGACTGATCCGTAAGCCGATTATCAGACGCCATTGGCAACCGCTGCTTCACTTCTAGAAAGAGACAAATCCATATGTTTCTTTGAATAGTCACTGAAATATACCTATTACAACTTTCCGTTTTAC